TAAGTTGAAATGATGGACCCTCTTCCGTTTGTGACCTCCTGCTCCAGTTTTCTTCTCTACTGTTCCCTCTTTTTTTAAACGTATTCACAGTTCTCTTGAGGTTTCTTTAATGAACTTTGATGATGGAAGCTAAAGTATGAATATTGATACGATTGCTGAAGGCCGAAGTGATCATTTCACTCTCATCATTGATAATTTGGGAAGACTGTGGAGCTGACACAAGTCGGTCTTAAGCTGTTCTCTTTCTAGTTGAATAACTTAAATGCTTTTTTCAGTTATTCTTACGACAGACATCATTTCCATGTTCAACTTCCTCTTTGCGACTACTCGGTCTCACATTGACTGCTGACCTGAGATGGAACAAATACTTTAAGTCAATAGCTTCGTCCACCTCAAGGAAAGTTGGCTCCCTATGCCGCGCCAGGAAATTTTTGTCGCTGTAGTCGATCCTTCAAATCTACAAATCAACCATTAGCCCTTGCTTGGAGTATTGCTGTCATATATGGTCTAGTATCCTTTATGTTTGTCTCAAGGTTCTTGATAAGATCCAGGGACGCGTATGCAACGTAATTGGCCCTGATCAGGCCTCTCGTCTGGAGTCGCTCTCTCACAGACGTGCCGTCGCCTCCCTCTGTCTTTTTTACCAATACTTTCATGGTAACTGCTCCGATGAGATGCTTTCGCTGGTTTCCAGATTTCATGAATTTAAGCGTTCTACTAGACTGGCATCTCGCTCTCACCCTTTCATTGTTGAAACTGTTAAATGTAGCCGTCTCTTCTACTCCAGTAGCTTCACGTCTCGCACTTCTCGCCTGTGGAACGCCCTGCTTTTTTCCTGTTTCCCTGATGGCTATAATCGCCAACTATTCAAATGTAATGACAATCGACGTCTCCAGATGCCTTGATCTATCCCCTATCCTTCTCTTCATCTTTACCTCTATCACTCCTATTTGCTCTCGCTCCAAATTTTCTGTAACCTCTTGAGTGCTAGTGGCTTCCCGCTTTGCTTGGGGTGAAACGCTTAAAAAAATAATAATAATAGACATTCGTTGTCTGTTTAACATTTGAACACACACACACACACACACACATATATATATATATATATATATATATATATATACACAAGTATATAATTGGTGTATACGGAATGAATTCCAATAACTATTACTATTACAATTACTATTCTTAAAAGAGTGCTCAATACAAAGTAGAGCAGATATAATTATTTAAAAAAAACTTATAACATAAATATGTTATAAAATCACTACAAAAATAACCATTTTGTTTCAAACCCTTGGTGTTTTATCAAGTGATTTCACGTGTCTTATCAAGTGATTTCACTTGATAAGACACCGAGGGTGTTGAAACAAAATGGCTATTTTTGTAGTGATTTTATAACATATTTATGTTATAAATTTAAAAAAAATAATATATATATATATATATATATATATATATACATACCGCTTGTAACAGCAAAATTGTCCAAATCGTGTAACAGCATAATTGTCCCTCCCACAAAATGTTTAATATCTAAATTGAGTTTCTTTTTCCCATGTTTTCTTATAAGACGTTTCATTATGGTAACACCATTTTGTCGTAAGAATCCCTGAAAAAAACTCTTTGAGCTATTCATTTAGAAAGATAACATGGTAAAATCGTTTTGCGTCAGCCTCATTATGCCTTCCAAGCAGAGTAATGGTGACGACTTCAGTAATGGTATCAACATTTATACGCTGGCTTCCATCTCCAAAATCCATTCAAAAACCATGAAGAGAACGGTGAATAAAATTAAAAAAGAGGGGACAGTATCGAGGAAAAGTGGATCAGGAGGTCACAGCAAGAAGAGGGATCATCATTTCAACGTAAATCTAAAGAGATCAATTAGAAAAGATCCAACTCAGTCCAGTAGACGTTTGGCACGTGTGAGGTGATTTTCAGCTATGACAGTCCAAAGAGCAATGAAAAATGACTTGAAAATTAAATCGTACGTAAAACCAATGATGTATCGTGCTACCCCAAGATAGAAAGTTAGAAGGTTAGAGAGGGCGAGGATCATCTGGAAATTTGGAAAACGATCCTGGATATATATATATATATATATATATATATATATATATATATATATATTAGGAAATGGACTAAGTCCGACAATTATTTTAAGATATTTTTATGTTTATACATTCTTTTTTATAGATACAAATATTTAAGTAAATGCTCTGTTTATAATAAACAGTATCAACAACATTCACCTATCTGAAAATGTGGCAAAAATAAACACAAATACTTTTATGTTTTTTTTTTTCTTTTTAGATATTAAACACTATCAGCATGGTCCGGCGTTGCCCGTGCTTGATTCAAAAATCGTACGCCTCATACAGCAATCGCTATAACTTAAAATATTTTTGCCCTTCCTTGCCTTTAAAGGAGTGCCCGTTGCCTTGTTGATGTTGCTACATGCCTTACTTCTTGCCTATCTCACACTGCGAATTTTACTAAACATTCAATCTGTTACGAAAAAAAAGAACTAAACAAAATGAACACGAAACGATCAGCTTTAAAAAAAAGTACTCGTAACTGGAAAAAAGAATGTTAACAACAAATACTTTTTCACACCCAACCAAGTTGCGGAATCAGAATCAACTTTGAGTTTAAGCAAGCGAATGAACCAATTGGAGTAAAGTGCCATGCAGATTTAAATTTTTCCCACTTGTGACGAGTGCAGCTATCGATTTTTTTTTGCATGCTAGCATACTAGTTAAACTTCGTGTCAGTCAGCTGTTGGCTCTCACCCTGGCCAATAGAATCTTCCTGCCTATTCATGGCAGCCAGATATAGGCTCTGACTCTGGCCAGTAGAAAATGGCCGCAAACTACATGAAAACTGCCGTAGAAGCATGAAAAAATCGATTATTTCCACTATCGATGGGAGTTGGGAAATGTAAAGTCGGTCTTGACCTTTTCGCTAAATTGGAGCATGTTCATGTAAATTTTGGTGCAAATCCGTCGAAAATTGCGGCCGTGCATTCATTACACACACACACACACACACACACACACATCCTGCCTTTTATAGATAGAGATTTTGTGGGGTGGCCAATTATGCTGATCCACCATTTCAGCAATTTTACTGTTACTCCTGGTACGAGAATGAGACATAATCGTATTTTATTTTCTGAAGATTAATATGAATCCACAAAATCGGAAACTATTTATAATATTCTTGTATTTAGTGACCATTTATTAAATGAAAATTTTAAGAAATGCGCTCGACCTATCCTACATAACAAATGTGACCAAATAACCAAACCATCATTTATTATTTCTAAATAACACAGATATTTACTTATCATAAATCTATCAGATTTAGCGTTAAGAAATCGAGAACAATCTCGCTGGGGAAATAATCTAATGAAAGAAACTTTAGCGCCTTTAGTTTTATTCCCAAAGTACTGCTAAAGAATATAATTTCAAAGAAGACGAGTAAAAACATGGCTGGAGATTTGGTCGCAGTCTTTAACACGAATTACATTTTCTTTTAATTTAAGTTTCTTTTAAACCTTCCCCCCACCAAAAAAAAAAAAGTAAATGTTATGTTGTATGCTCAATGGTAAGAAATCCTAAGAATTTATTTTTCGCTGTTTAAAATGAAAAAGAAAAAAAAAAACAGTTTCTTAAAAATTATCTTTACCATGAAATCCTATAGAACTAATTTAATTTAAAGAAATTATTAAACCACGAACTAAGCTTTTGTCAAAGTATTTTTTTCCAAACAAATCAGTTTATTCAAATTTCATCGATTGTTTTGCGAAACGTAGAATTTGTAAATCTCGACTAAAAATGTTAGCGGTAACTTCAACAATACGAAATACTGTATTTCCAGACGCAATGTTTATCACAACGTTTCAACCCTTCAGTATCTGTCTATATTTCTGAGATGAGGTATTATGTACACTATTTACATTATTCAGACTATTATCCTCATCTTTATTGTCATATTTATCACAACGTTTCGGCCTTTCAGTATCTGTCTATATTTTTGAGATGAGGTATTATGTACACTATTTACATCACTCGTACTATTGTCCTCATCTTTGTCGCTATATTTATTACAACGTTTCGGCCGTTGTACGCTCCGGACTTCTTCAGGTGATCGGAATGTCGAACTTAACTCTTTACTTCGCTCAAAGGGGAAGACTGTTCTAGTTCCACATGCCATGTTTAATGGCTGTCAGTTATCAGTTTTCTCTTGTTAACTTCCCTCTGTAACTTCTCCACTGCCTTAACCGGGTATTGAACTCACACTCTTTGGATCCTGTCACTGATTACTGACAAAACAAAATATTAACAGCAATAAAAATTTTTGTCAGCTTTAAATAACCCATTGAGGTTGATATATCGTAAAACAAAATAAACCAAAACAATCTAAACCAAAGAATACATATTCTATTCATACGAATCTATCCTGAAAATGTTGTCGGCATTAAATAACCCATTGAGGTGTTGATATGCCGTAAAACAAAATAAACCAAACCAAATCAATCCAGAAGTGCATCCATGCAAGCGAATGATCTGGCAAGGACTATTTCTGGTATGAAATACTTAAAAAAACGGTCAGTGCTAAATTTTTCAAATGGTTAATTAATTTGCTTTTTACGGATTATCAAGTGTTTTCAGGTTATTTAAAGCCATTTTTTTTTAGATTATAAGATTTTTTAAAAAATAATATTGGTTTAGTAATACAAGCCTTACTAATTAACAGTCTATATAGTTGACAGGGAAAGAGATGGATTCATACCGTTTTGGTTTTCCGATTAACAATTCCGAGTCATTATCCATTACAGCACCCGCGCAAACAAGCATACATCACCACGTAGTCACCCATCTACAGGGTGATCCGAATGTCTTGTCGCCTATCTACAGGGTTGTCCGAAAGTCTTATGACCTATCTTACAGGGTTGTCCGAATGTATTGTCACCCATCTACAGTGTGGTCCGAATGTCTTGTCGCCTATCTACAGGGTTGTCCGAAAGTCTTATGACCTATCTTACAGGGTTGTCCGAATGTATTGTCACCCATCTACAGTGTGGTCCGAATGTCTTGTCGCCTATCTACAGGGTTGTCCGAATGTATTGTCACCTATCTTACAGGGTTGTCCGAATGTATTGTCACCTATCTACAGGGTTGTCCGAATGTGTTGTCACATATCTTACAGGTTTGTCCGAATGTATTGCCACCTATCTTACAGGGTTGTCCAAATGTATTGTCACCTATCTACAGGGTGGTCCGAATGTCTTATCACCTATCTACAGGGTTGTCCGAATATATTGTCACCTATCTACAGGGTTGTCCGAATGTATTGTCACCTATCTTACAGGGTTGTCCGAATGTATTGTCACCTATCTACAGGGTGGTCAGAATGTCTTGTCACATATCTACAGAGGTGACCGAATATATTCCTTCCTATCTTACAGGGTGGTCCGAATGTCTTGTCGCCTATCTACAGAGTCGGCCGAAAGTCTTATCACCTATCTACAGGGTTGTCCGAATGTATTGTCACCCATCTACAGGGTTGTCTGAAAGTCTTATCGCCTATCTACAGGGTTGTCCGAATGTCTTGTCGCCTATCTACAGGGTTGTCCGAATGTATTGTCACCCATCTACAGGGTTGTCTGAAAGTCTTATCGCCTATCTACAGGGTTGTCCGAATGTATTGTCACCTATCTTACAGGGTTGTCCGAATGTATTGTCACCTATCTTACAGGGTTGTCCGAATGCATTATCACCCATCTACAGGGTGGTCCGAAAGTCTTATCACCTATCTACAAGGTGATCCGAAAGTTTTGTCACCTGTCTATAGGGTTGTCCGAATTTCTTGTCACCTATCTTACAGGCTTGTCCGAATGCATTGTCACCTATCTACAGGGTGGTCCGAATGTCTTGTCGCCTATCTACAGGGTTGTCCGAAAATCTTATCACCTATCTACAGGGTTGTTCGAATGTATTGTCACCTATCTTACAGGGTTGTCCGAATGTATTGTCACCTATCTACAGGGTTGTCCGAATGTGTTGTCACATATCTTACAGGGTTGTCCGAATGTATTGCCACCTATCTTACAGGGTTGTCCAAATGTATTGTCACCTATCTACAGGGTGGTCCGAATGTCTTATCACCTATCTACAGGGTTGTCCGAATATATTGTCACCTATCTACAGGGTTGTCCGAATGTATTGTCACCTATCTTACAGGGTTGTCTGCATGTATTACCACCTATCTTACAGGGTTGTCTGAATGTATTGCCACCTATCTTACAGGGTTGTCTGAATGTATTGCCACCTATCTTACAGGGTTGTCTGAATGTATTGCCACCTATCTTACAGGGTTGTCTGAATGTATTGCCACCTATCTTACAGGGTGGTCCGAATGTATTGTCACCTATCTTACAGGGTTGTCCGAATGTATTGTCACCTATCTTACAGGGTTGTCCGAATGTATTGTCACCCATCTACAAGGTGGTCCGAATGTATTGTCACCCATCGACAGGGTGGTCCGAATGTCTTGTCACCTATCTTACAGGGTGGTCCGAATGTCTTGTCACCTATCTTACAGGGTGGTCCGAATGTCTTGTCACCGATCTACAGGGTTGTCCGAATGTATTTTCACCCATCTACAGGGTTGTCCGAATGTATTGTCACCCATCTACAGGGTGGTCCGAATGTCTTGCCGCCTATCTACAGGGTAAATCGTCTGCGTAGATGACTACTTGGGAACAGATGACGTCAGGAAGATAAAAAAAACAGTGTAGGATCCATAATATAGCCTTGGGGAACACCAGTGTTCGTGGGAATGAAACTGGAGGAGAACACGTTTAGAAAATGTATTGGGATCTCTGAGGATAAGTGGGTATCATAAATGAATTCAATTACCTTAGCTTATCAAAATCCAAAGTTTTAGCGTGTCTTTCCGCCTGTATGCTTGTTTGTTTTATCGATATTAGAGATGTTTGGTAATGTAAAATTGTAAATGAAGTTATTGCAGATACATATATAACTTAAATATTCTTTCTATTATGGATACATAGATTAGAATGGCTTAATAGCTAGCTAGATATGAACCGACGAATGAATATATATATATATATGTGTGTGTGTGTGTGTGTGTGTGTATGATAGAGATATATGAAACGACTGATTAAGATACGTAGATAGACGTAGATATATATATATATATATATATATATAGAGAGAGAGAGAGAAAGGGCGAAGGATAAATTCGAAAAGATGTACAGACTGAGATAGATGCACTGACATTAAAAGAAAGCGATAGATTGACATATATATATATATATATATATATATATATATATATATATATATATTTATATATATATGTGTGTGTGTGTGTGCGTGCGTGCGTGTGAGAGAGAGAGAGTGGAGAGAGGGAAAGAGTTCAAGATGTGAACAGCCTGGGAAAGATAAACAGGTAAATATATTTGCA